TCCGCCGCTGGATTGTCGACCGTTGGACGTGGCGTCTGTCGCAAGTGATAGGTCGAATTTGTCGTCTATCGCAGGTGACGATCCCATGTCACATGTTGTAACGGTCGTGAGGGCGCCGGACGATCAGGATCCAGGCGTATCAGGTATCACAACAGCGGATCTGTTGTCCCCGGTCGAGGATCCAGCCGTGAAAACAATATTGACAGATGAAGCTCTAAGTGGAGTAACTGGTACAGATCAAGATCCACCAGTTCAGGCAGTCCAAGATCCGAAGGTGACGACGTTGAAGGGTGATGGGTCGCACCCATCATCATTGATGGGTGTAGAATCTGGGACGAGCCATAAGTTGGGTGACCCGTTGGACCAGAAGGACGCCACATCTATGTCGCAGAAAAGGACGAGGACCCGGCAACTGTTTTGGAAGATCAACCGAACACATCAGATCTGGACCTTACTTGGGACTCGGGACGGGATTACGATGAATGTGTGTATTACCACGAAGGCCGTGATCGCTACGCTGAAGATGTCGACGGACAATTCGCGGTACTGCCCGAAGTCCCAGTACCCAGCAGCGACGGAAGATGTGAGGATCGAGGACATCCAATTGTGCGGATCCGACAATCAGACGCCGGAAGAAATCGATCGACTCCGTCAGCGGATCTGGAAGTTCTGACATCTCCTGATCGGCAAGGGAAATGCGCTCCCACCAGCAGCCCGAGGGGTTGTGTGTGATATTTATGTGGGGGGAGCTCGGCCGATCGCGCTTAAGTGCCGTAAGCTGCGGATCCAGTTCCGAGAAAAAATGGCAGAGTTGATCAAGGGTCTAGGAGGAGCCCGGCCGATCGCGCTCAAGTCCCGAAAGCTGCGGATCCAGTTCCGAGAGAAATTGGCAGATTTGATCAAGGGTCTCCTGTCAGCTAAGATGATCAACCACTCAAGATCCCCATGGGCATCGTCGATCGTCGTGATCATCAAGAAGAATAGTGTGGATATACGACTGTGTATTGGTCATCGGTTGGTTAGCAGTCTGACACAGCTGATGGGTTACCCGATGCCGCTGATCAACGATCTACTGGAGGATCTCGAGTCTACACTGTGGTATTGCTCGCTTGATATGGCGAGTGGGTTTTGGGTGATGAAGATGACTGATCAGGCCCGCCTGATCTCGGCCTTTATCACCCCATTTGGACTTTTCGAGTGGAATCGGATGCCTTTTGAGCTGAAGAATGCGCCGCAAATCTACCAGCGGATGATTGTCGTGTAGGACACGATAGAATTCTCACGTTCGGGTGAGT